TTTCCTTTTTTTTTTTTTTTTAAATCTGGCGGACGGGCCTCTGCCTCCTTTTTCGCCTTTTTTTTCTTTTTTTTTTTTTCCACTTTTTTTCCCCTCTCAGCACCTTTTTTGTTTTTTGTTTCTTTGTCTGCCTTTTTTCTTTTCCTCCCACATTCGGCTGTCATTGATTAATAGCTACTGTCCGTAGATACAGGGGATCGACGGCTCGAATCTTGTAGTAGTACATGTTGCAAGTGCGATCTCGCGGCCCAACTTGGAAAGGCGTAATTGTTTCCTTCTCAGACCAACAAGCTGTTGTTTTTTTTTTTTGTTCCTTTTTTTTTTTTCAATGTTCCACCTCCACTTTGCCTTTTTTTGCCTTTGCGCCTGACCATTGACGTCGTTGCCTGACCAGCAGCGAGCGACCTGTCCGATCTTAGGGCATCAGACCCCAATTACGCCAAGACCTGTATGCACCTGGCCGCAATTCCGTCCAGAAACTAGCAAAAAACTTGAAGCGTGAGTATGTCCTTAGTCCACGTCCGTAGACTTCAAGTTGGCCCACCGAGATACAGGCACCTGGCCCAGTGGAACCTGCCTGGGCCATTGTCAGGGACCGGAAAGCTGGGCATTAGTAGTCCGACAAGTACCTGCAGCAGCCCGCAAGTTGGGCCCAAGATAGCAAACAGAGGAATGGGAGGAGGGAAGAAAGGAACAGGCAGTGCGGAGAAAAACCCAAAAAAAAAAAAAAAAAAAAAAAAAAAAAAAAAAAATTAAAAAAAAAAAAAAAAAAAAAAAAAAAAAAAAGAGGGATCAATGAGGGAGTAACATTAAGAAACAACTTTTTTTTTTCTTTTTTTTTTTAAACCCGAAAAAAAAAACGAAAAAAAAAAAAAAAAAAAAAAAAAAAGGCAGTGCAGATACTATAGCGGTTGGAACTATAGCTCCGCCGTTAGCAGTGGGAATTGGACCCAGCGTATGTGGCTGAATAAAATTGGGCCCATGTACCTCTGAATAAACAGACCCTGAGGGCGTGAGTTCGGACCGTGGTGGGGACACACATGTGAACTGAAGTACCTCTTCTGCATAATTACCTGGTGGGGCGTGGTACCACTAGCAAAGCGGATCGGATCGAATGCCTGAATCTGGACGAGGTTATGGAAATGTGCAGGAAATCGAGATTGAACTGTTTTTCTGCGTCTCCGCATAAACACACCCAGATTCCGGAGCTCGATCCTATCCTTTTTTCTAGTGGGACCTCGGCCCTGGCCGCCCATCTTCGTTACCTACGGCAATGTTTCTCAGTCCCGGCAATTTCAACAAGTGGGACCTTGTCCGTGGGACCAGTCAGTTCGATGATGATACCGCAAGGCCGCGTCGCTCTGCGTAATTCAACAAAAGAAAGGAAAAAAATGGTTTTCTCCCCCCCCCCCCAAAAAAAATAAAAAAATAAAAAAGAGGACACAGAATAACAAAAAAGGTTTCGGGGAAAAAGTTGGACCCGGGGGGGGGCGCCGGTTCACGGCGCAAAAATAGCGCTCGGCTCCGCCGCTGCCGGTTTCTGCCGGCCTAGCCGCCACCGAGCAGCACTCGAAGTTGCTATGGTGGTTGGCAAGCTACCCGAAGCCCCAGCCATGTCTGGGCATCGAGGCGCTTGCAGGCTAGCCCATTTCCCCACCATATCCAATCAATTCAGACGCGTATTGTTTTAGCCTAGTCATCTCTTGACGGGCTTGACGTCCTCGTTTATGGAACCTATTGGTCATCGCCACGTGTAGCCTGCAGTAATTGGCTAGAGGTTTGACACGTGTAGGGAGTTTGGATCAGTGCTTTTTTTATCGTAAAGCCTGAGATCCAGATTGGCGTCGCCGCTTTGTGGAATGCTGCCGTAAGCTGGTGAGCGTTCATGCTTTTGGAGTTTATCGCTCAGTGGTCAGTACTTGTCAGGGTTCTATCGATCGCGGCTTATCTAACGCTTGTCCAACTTCGGTGTTGGCGCACCCTTGTCTATCGACAATTCCAATGTACGCTGCTCTGCCGAGAATAAGCGCCTGCTCGTCATAAGGGTACTCGCAGCAGTTCATCAGGTCCTTTGCCGCCAAGTCTCTTCAGAGCGTATAACAAGGTTCGCCCTCGGCGCTCATCTCCGGGGCAGAATCGCGACAAGACGGTGCTTACTTGAGCGTTTTTAACTCATTCTTCTGGAGGAAGAAGGATAACAAGCGTTTTTCATTTACCTTAATCAGGATTTCCTTTTCTCTCACAATGGATGTTGACGAACCAGGCTTACCAATTGGGGAGCCGAAGGAGGTTCAGGCTCAACCCCACGTGGGGGATGTGGGGATGGTGGGGGTAGATAAGGAAGGAGCTACCCCGGGATTACCGAGAACTCTGTCAGGTCAGGAGGAAGAGGACGGCAAAGGCAATAGATCCCCACCTCAGTCTCACAGGAACTATTGGCCGGAGGAAGAACGGGTGCGTGAAATGCTGGCGCGATGCTATGATGCAGGTATCCTCCCCTCGGGGTGGGATATCGGAGAGCTGAGGGAAGAAGGCACTAAGGCACACTTCATCCTGAATCACTCCTTGGACGAGATCAAAGTTAACTGGTTGAAGGAGCGAACCGTGACAGTTATTTTCTTGGAAGGATCGAAGAATCTGCCCAAGAAGATAAAGGAAGATGTTATTCGAGCGTTCGAAGATGTGTGGTTGGCGGACCAGCGATTTGACTCGTCCATCACAAGAGGCAGGGTGTGCATTGAATTGAGCAACGTCCTGTCCTACGTGGCCAAGGATAAGCGGGTGGCAGAGTGGATGCTTGAGGAAAAAGAGGTCAGGGTAGTGCTGAAGAGGAGATGGCACAACATCGCATTCAAGCTGTGGTTGACCAAGGTCGAGATACAAGAAGCGAAGAAGGAGGTAGAGAAAACCTACTTCTGGATTCGGTTCATTGATGTGCCAATTGACGCTTACTGTTACTTGGAGTCAGCGGCCGAAGCATCGATAGGGCCAGTTATCAAGGTGTACCCATCGGAGAAGAACGCATTAACCCCTCAATTAATAAACGTGAGAATGGACATCGCGATAGAAAGCATAGCAAGATTGAAGGAGTCTCTGGAGTTTATGACCTTTCAGGGTCAAGAAATTAAACTTCAGATGGCGAATGCGACAACTCCCTGGTGCAGCAGATGTCGTAAATACTTCCATGCAGAAGATCAGTGTCCACGCGCCAGGCGGGCAAGAACTCCCAGCCCTGGTGCCAGCGAATCCAGCCACAGTAGCAGTACTAGTGGACAACCGAGCAATAAGCCAAGCAGCATTCGCTCTTCGAGAGCAGGATTGTAGCGGACCTTGGGTTGGCCTGTGAGACCAGCCCCTTGGCCTGTTCTCACAGGCCTGTGTTATATTCGGGGTAGGCCAGTCCAGGCCGGTACCTCTGTCGGTACCAGCTAGTCCATTCCAGTCATGTCAGTCCGCTGGGGTATACCCCAGCCATTGTCTGTTTTCAGTCTCATTCCTTACTTGCACATTTTGGAGTACGTGCGTTGGAGTCTTGCGTGGGGAGCTGCGTTGTGCCATCTTGCTCCCCCCTTCTTCCTCCATCTCCATCTCTGTCACTAGCGGAGCACCACACCTGGTGGGTCCGCTACAAGGATCAAGTAATGAAAGCATGCAAGACCAGAAGAAGACACCCTCGGTGAACTCGTCTGAAGCAAGAAGGAAACAGCAGACTTACAAGGGCAAACTACGCCCAGTGGACAGTGGCCAAGTTCTAGGGGCAGGTACATCGAGCCAAGCGCTGGATGGGGGAGCTTTTTCCATTGGGAGGAGCTCGGAATAATTATTGGAATCCGACTTTTTCCCCTGCTGCAGGAAGGGGGGGAGGGGTTGCAAATTTTGCGAACGGGGGAACAAATGGTCAAAACACCAGCCAAGGAGGGAACTCGAGGCTATCACAGGAGAAACAAGGAGATTCGAGAACTGTTGTAGAACAGGGAAGAGGTAAACTAATAATGAAGAGTGACCGACCTTCGACGAGTAGCATAGGCGATGTCTCACGAGGATCGAGGGGAAATGCTGTGTCAAGGGAGGAGCATACTCCAACGAAGTTGAGAAGGAGACTGAGTTCTGATATGAAGGAATTACGTATTTCAGAGGAGAAAATCCCAGCAGAGCCATCAGGTTCCTCAACCGAAGCGACCAGTGGGGCACGAGGCAAGGATGCAAGTGCAGCGGCAAAGACTTTGAGTTCCCTCAAGCGAAACAGGAGGCAAGCGACTGGATCCGACAAGGAATGGGAGAAGCATTTGCTCCCGCTGCTGTTTACGGCTACCCAAGAAGGTATCTTCGCCCTGGCTTGGGCGGTATCGGCCCGGGAGTCGGTTCTCCCATCTCAATCAATCTCAGGCCCTCCAATGCCGAGGGACATGGTTAATATCACACGTAAGATCTATGGGAGCGATATAGCGGTAAGGTTGATCCCTGATATCCCTACCCCCAGATTCTTTGTGGATAAGCCCCCATTAAAAGTGAAATTGTTTACCCCGCTTTTCGATGCTAGAATGACACAACAGAGCCTCATCAGTTTGGTAGATAGGGGTTTGTGTTTGTTCCCCTTGGAATGGCTGGCCCAGACGGACCACCCTGATTTGGATCGCCTCAAACTGTTGGGGGGTGTTAGCGCGTCTAAACTAGGAAAGCTGAACTCCAAGATCCCTAGGTTACGCTCATTGTGGTCCCAGGCTAGCGGAGTCTATTCCTCAGTAGCTTGCAGAGATACTCCTAGGCAGCAATCATCACACTGTTACTGGTTCATTAACCAACAATTTCAATGTAAATGGGACACTGGACCCGTTTTCCAGCAGGTGAAGCTCCCCACCAATAGATGGAGCCTCCCTGGGAATGCTAGAGGGGTCTGCTCTTATCAGCTCCCCGAGCATCAGCCGGGGTATGTTTAA